TCGGCCCTCGGACTGAAGGGTCCTGGGTTGATTCTGGCCAAGGGCACGCACCTCAGTTGCAGGCTCGATCCCCAGCCCCAGTCGGGGCACGTATGGGAGGCACCCAATCAATGTCTCTCTCTCTTTCTCTCTCCCCCATTCCACTCACTCTGAAAAGCAATGGAAAAATATCCTCAGGTGAGGATTAAAAATACATATATGTGTATATCTGTATATATATATAACTTACTGATATATATATGTATATATATGTATAACTTACCAGGAAGAAATTAAAACTCATATCCCCACAAAGATTTGTGCACAAATGTTCACAACAGCTTTGTTTGGAACAGCCAAAAACTGAAAATGAGACAAATGTCCTTCAACTTGTGAGCTGATACATGAAGTGTGGCACATCTAGTCTAGTGACTCTTAAATTTGTAAAACTTATATCTCCACAAGGTAATTTTGTGTATAAGACACTTTAGGATAAAGAGCTAACAAGCTACGAGTGGCCACTACCTCAATTGCCAAAAACATAAATGACACTTACTGGCACCTGGAGTCCCTGTGTTTCCTTCTTTTTCTTCAACGATCTCCTGTCCTTGGTTAGCGCTTTTGCTTTGATCCACGCCAACTGCCCCATCTCTGAAGACTTTGAGCGATCTGTAAGAAATGGTTTACATGAGAAAGTTTACGATGGTATGGGGAACTATTTTGTTTTACTGAAAGGATGAGAGAATGGGGAGAATGAGAATCCAGGCAAAAGTCATAGACTTTTGCCCGACCGGCATGGCCCAGTATCGACCTAGGATCCAGGACACTGAGGTTCGATTCCCGGTCAGGGCGCATGCCCGGGTTGCAGGCTCAATCCCCAGTGGGGGGTGTGCAGGAGGCAGCCGATCAATGACTCTCATCATATCATTAATATTTCTAATGTTTCTATCTCTCTCTCCCTCTCTCTGAAATCAATAAAGATTTTTTTCCAAAGTCATAGACTTTAAAAATAGCAGGAATGCAAAGAATTTTTTCAAAGGGTTTACTTCTTACTTTTAATCTTACAGGTCTTCATCTTCTCCTTGTGGAATCTCAAACTCTGACTCCGAAAGAGGGGCCTGTCTCTGCGGAGAGGACTGATCCAAAAGGATGTGTAGGGCTGAAGTCTTGGTCCCTCCTCTGAGCAATCACTATTCCAGGCCAGTCCTGTTGAGTTATCAGAGAGGGATCTGCCCCAGATCTGCCTCTGGCATTGTCCACTCTTGCTGGAGTTATGATTACTAGTGGAGGCCAAGCAGGTTTGCCATTTTTTCCCGATGCTAAACACACCAGTTTCATCACCTTCTGAAAATGCCCAGTTCACATATCCACCCCCAGTGTGCATGCTCTCGGCTTGGGAAGGGGGGGAGGTCACTTTCAGGGATGCAGGTGTGCAAATCAAAGTGGTTAGAACTTGCTCTCCCCTATCTTGTCTGGCTGGTATCTGAGCGATTGGCTCATATTGCTCCTTGTGTTCAGCCACTGAGGCCTGCGCTGAGACAACTGGGGTCTGCCACGTCAGATGCACAGGGACTTCATTCTGGGTGACCTGTTCAGGTGCCAGCACACCTGCGGCCACTTCCGCAGATGGTCTGGACAGAGGCAAGTCAGTTTCTGCAGAAAAAGGAACTTGCTTTAGATAAGAAGGGACCAGAAGAAATTGGCCATACTTTGGGTGTGCCTGCTTGTCAAGGCAAGAAGCAAATATACTATTTTCTGTTTCTTGCTCTTCCTGGTCATTTCTCACATTTGAAGTCTCTCTCTGACTGTCTGAAATCTCAACAAGAGGTCCCCTCTGCACTCTTAGGGGATTCCGGCCTCCGGCCAGGCTCCGCAGCAAAGAAGGAGGCATGCTATAATACTGGTATTTCTTCTCCCCAGCCATCTCCATGCTGCTTAGAACCTCTGCACAGATGACATTGCTCCAGCTGTGGGGGGGTTTTCTGCAAGTCGGAAGCTTTCTGTTGGCCAGGAGCGCCTCATCCTCTTGTAAGGTGTCAACAGCAGAAAGGACATTTAGGGTGTCCACTGTCAGGGCAGAGAGGTCCTGCAGGTGTCCCACCTGGCTGTCCAAAGACAGTAAGGAGTCCTTTATAAAAGATACCTTTTCATTCATTTCTTTCAGTTGGAAGAACATCTCCGTGACCCTAATGATAAGGAGAGGAAGAAAACCAACAAACACGTTAAGCCAACGGGAATCTGCCTTATTCTCTCCCTGTCCTTCTTCCATCCTTAGGTGGCCCCTCAGCCTAAGCTGTTCCCAAAGTTAGGTGTGTCTTCTGCCATCTTCTGTCTCTGATTCCAGGTGATCTCACCCACCCCTGTCATTCCCACTATCACCCCAATGCAGAAAAACCACAAATCTACATTAGCTGTTAGTTCTAATATTTCAGAGCCACATTTCCAGCTTCCTGCTAGTTATCCTTTCAATCATCTCACCAATCATTCCACTTGTATTCATTTATATATTCATTCATTTATATGACAAACATTTGGATACCTCCTACTGGCAAGCACTATGTTATTTTGGTAAGGAAAGGAGATCCTGAGGAAGAAGCCAGAATGATAGGAACAGCATCAATAATCAAATATGCAACTAGAAAAAAATATTTTATATATCTAAAAAAAAAATTCCAAGTCTACATTTCAAATAGGTTTCCCAAGTTTCAAACAAAGACTACTTTAAGAGGCCTACATCAGAGAAAACCTGAAGCAAATTTTTAAAATTATTTTGAATACTTAAAAATTATTTTGAATACTTAAAAGTTATTTTGAATACTTTAACCCAACATTATGATGTCCAGCCACTGATTCCTGTCAAAGCAAGACAAGACATCTTCAACTAGCAAGTACAAAAGTAAGTTGCAAGTAGAGTCCAATTAAATGTACCAACTGACTTCATTTAGAGAGAAAGAAAGAAAACATTGGTTAATTTTTATCTGTATATATCTCTGTAAGGGGATGGGTTTTGTTCTGTGTCCCTCAAAAGAGATATGTTGAAGTCCTAACCCCCAGTACTCCCAGAATGTGACCTTATTTGGAAATAAGGTCTTTACAGAGATAATCAAGTTAAAATGAGGTCATTAGTGTGGGCCCTAAGTCAATATGACCAGTACCCTTAAAAAAGAGGGAAAATGCCTGGTGGTGTGGCTCAGTGGTTGAGCATAGACCAATGATCCAGGAGATCGAGGTTCGATTCCCAGTCAGGGCACATGCTGGGGTTTTGGGCTCAACCTCCAGTAGGGGGTACGCAGGAGGCAGCCAATCAATGACTCCCTCATCATTGATGTTTCTATCTCTCTCTTTCCCTCTCCCCCTCTCTGAAATCAATAAAGATATATTTTTAAACAAATAAATAAATAAAAATTTTAAAAACATTTTTTTTTAAAGGGGAGGGGGGGCTTGGATACAGAGGTAGAAGACTTCCCTACCACTAGAATGATGCATTTATAAAACCAAGGGACACGAAGGATGCCCAACAAACACCAGAAGCTAGAAGAGGGGAGGAAGGACCCTTCCTTAGAGCTATCAGAAAATGCATGGCCTTGTCAACATCTTGATTTTGGACTTCTAACCTCCAGAACCATGAGGCAATAAATTTCTTTTCTTGTAAGACCCCCAGTTTTTGGTACTTTGTTATGGCAGCCTTAGGAAACTAATACTTCATCTAAGCTTAACAATGAATACCATAAATTATAAAATATATCAGATTTGGTTACATAAATAAACTCGTATACATAAAACTATAATACAAAATTTTAAAACAAAAAAATAAGCTGGAAATTGTTCTAACAAATATGACAAGGTGTTTGTATCCTTAAATAAGTCAAAAGCTCTTACAAATTGTTGCCCAAAACAAAATTACAAGGACTCCAAAGAACACGAACAGACAATTCACAAAAGATAAAATACAAAAGTTAAGGAAACGTGGTAAAATATTCAACAGCATTAGGTAAGCAGACAAGGATGCAAAACTGGGGCATTTAATTAGGCAACATATGCAAAGAATTTCATTATACTAAAGTACACAGATATTCTTTACATTGTGAGATAAAATATTATGAAGCCATTAAAAATCATACTTATAGTGTTGATAATAATTTCCTTGGCTATTTCTTACAATAGGGGTGGGAATGTAGATGTTTGCTATATTCTGCGTTATATATATTTTTTAAACATATTTTTATTGATTTCAGAGAGGGGAAGAAAGAGAGGGAGAGAGATAGAAACATCAATGATGAGAGAGAATCATTGATAAGCTGCCTCCTGCACGCCCCCTACTGGGGATCAAGCCAGAAACCAGGGCATCTGCCCTGACTGGGAATCAAACCACGACCTCCTGGTTTATGGGTCAGTGACCAGTTACTGAGCCACATCAGCCGGGCTGCATTACATACTTTTAAATGTGGCATAAAAAACTTTGTAAGTAGAGAAAAAAATTAAAGTTAAAAATATGTTTACAAAAAATGTTTAATTATTTGAAGAAGTGATTTTGATGTACGAGATGGAAGGGGGGACAAAACACAAATTTGTATAGTTTTAACTAAAAATATATAGAAGACTAAAAGGCCAAAATTTTGACAGTGGACTCTGACTTATGACATTGTTCTTTCTCCCCACCCCACCCCCATTTTATTCTTTTATTTGGAGAAGGGAGTAAACTTTCCAATTTCTCAATAATAAAATCTTTGAGAAACAGGAATAAAGTAAAAAAAGAGCAAGAGAGGGAATCTAACCAGGAGTTTCTCTTTTTTTTGTTAAACCTCACCTGAGGATATTTTTTCCATTGATTTTTTAGGGAGACTGGAAGGGGGAGGCGAAGAAACATTGATGTAAGAAAGACACATTGATTGGTTGCCTCCCACTCGCACCCTGACTGGGTCTGGGGATGAAACTGCAACCCAGGCACGTGCCCTTGACCAGGAATCGAACCCACAACCCTTCGGTGCGCAGGCCAATACTTGAACCACTGAGCCATACTGGCCAGGGCCTCAACCAAAGTTTTCATGGCTGATATGACCATATGCAGAAATAAAAAAGGGTCCCCAGTCTTATTTGGGGACTGAGAGAAGCAGTGATACCATGAAGGGGTGTATCAAGTACGTCTCTTGAGAGCCCCTCAAGCCACATGGTTGAGAAATCATCCATTTCTTCTTTCTGGGAGCTTTGCACATACGGATGAAATAATAAAGAGGGTGGTACTTTCCATTTTCATTAGAGTTGATGTGGGTGGCACCTTCTCTTTCTTGTCTGCTATAGAATTCAACTTCTATAACTCAATAGAGGCTTAATAAATGCTTCCTGACCTTCTGGAACCTGCAAAACTAGAATTGGCAAGGCTGATGAGAGAAAGAGCACAAAATATATGTATATTTCCTTCCAAATGTGCTTAATTAGAGCCTTTCCATCCAGTGCACTGTTTCATCTAATTCAAAAACAGTACAGTCTGAACAGCAGTAATGGAGACTCATTAAGTTCCATTAGCAGCAGCCACATCGAACGGACACAATAGAAGCCAGCAACTATTCATGGCAACAGGTAACACGCTACAATACAGGCCTGTTAGGCAAATAACCTGGTCACCCTCAAATCGGGTCCTCTTGCTTTTATAGGCACTTATTTTCTAAAGCATTATGTCCTGTGAAACACATTTTAATTATATTCCTCAACCGCAAACTACATTAATTTAATCTATCCTTTCAGTCATTCTGACACGTAAAACACATTCTTACCATTTCTGTTTTCTCTGTGCAAGGTTTGAGGGTGGAGGGAGGACCAGGACGGTGTCTTGTTTTATTGTGGGCCTTCGGACAAGAAATCTTAAAATGATACCATAACAAGTATAATTATGATCATCATGACAATTATAATATTCAATGAGTGGCCAGGCATTTTACAAAGGCTCCATATTATTATTATTTTATGTAATCCACACGCCAACCCTATAAGGAAGGCATTGGTCTTATCCCTGTCATGAAAAGAGGAGAGGTCACATGGCCAGTCACATGACGGGTGACAGAGCGAGGCTCGGACCCAGGCAGTCCGACACCACATTCAATGGTATTAGCCACTGTGCCCCAGCACCTCTCAGCATCTCACCCGGGATCTAGGCCAAGTTCTTTAAGGGGGTCCTAACGCCCCGTGAAGTGCTGAATGAATTACACCGTTTCCCAGGCTGGGAGGCGTTTGGTCACAAATGATCCGCAATAAGGTTTCACAGCCAAGTAATGACAGACCTGCTCAAACTATAACTCTCTACTGAGTCACAGTGCACTTTATGTTGAAGTGTTTGCACTTTCTAAAAAATTTAGCATTTCCCAAATACAATGTTCCCAAATAGGCTTAATATGGATAAATGCCTAATAAACCTCTTACTCCGCAGCACAGAGGGGGAAAGGCTGACTTACACCTACTAGGTCAAAAAGCTGCCAGCACCCTGGCCGGTTTGGCTCAGTGGTTAGAGCATCAGCCTGTGGACTGAAGGGTCCCAGGTTTGATTCCAGCCAAGCGCAGGTACCCCGGTTGCAGGCTCGAGGCCCAGCCCCAGTCAGGGCGTGCGCAGGAGGCAACGGATCGATGTGTCTCTCACGTCAATGTTTCTCTCTCTCTTCCGCTCTCTCTGAAAAGCAATGGAAAAAATATCCTCCGGTGAGAATAAAAAAAAAAAAAAAGCAGCCAGCATTCCAAATAAAGAAAGCCAGACATAAAACAGACCTAATATGTTCTCTTTTTACACTTTCACAACTCACCTAACTCTGTAAGGACTTGGTGATCTCTGCTCTCGAGGTAGGAGAACATGCAGATAACCTGATTGCCTTTCCCTCCCTCTTCAAATGACTGTTCAGTTACCTGAGAAAAATGTTCTTCCCTCCCTCCCACACCTCCTTTGTGAGCTCCCCAAAAATAAACTCAACAAAAATAGCCATGTAAGAGCAGGGCTGGTAAAATAGCTCTATCAAGAGGAAACAATTGACTGATTATGTGGTGAAGTTAAATCGGAGCTTCATAATTCATTTCCAGAATATTTCTAGGATATTTTTCAGCTGCTGCATATCCATCTACCTTCTAATCCTCTTGATTCAATCCCAAGAGGGAAAAAAAAATCCAGAGACATATAATAATACTTGATGGTTAATAGTGTTAGGTAATTTATTATTATTATCATTATTGATTTACTTGCTAATAAATGTCTCATTCTCTCTGTAGTTACCCGACTACCTTCTAGTTTTCCTTACACCCTCTGCTCACTTCATTTGTGTCCCCTCCATGAGCGCCTCTTCCTCGGTCCATTATACAGGTGGTAGCCCCTCTCAGGGTCACCCCCTCAGCGCACCGAGGTTCCTGACTCTGCTTGCTTTCTGGGCGTGATCACTTCCTCGGTCGTTTTATTTTCTTACAATAAGCAGATTTCTTACAATAAGTCATCCCTCCCAAATCCCCTTGTCCAGCTCAAACTTTGCCCCAGGGCTTCAGATTCGTGCATCCAAAGACTCCCTGACACCTGTGGCTGAAGGTGCCCCAAGACTCTCAGGCCCACAAACCTAAACCTCCTGGCTGCCCGCCCACCCCCTGCCTTTTGTAGTCTTCACCTTGGTGGTGCCACCTCTCGCCTGCTCCCCCTGCTGCAGATCTGAGCCACCCTGGGCGCCACCCTCTCCCTCAGCCCCACATCCAGTCCTAACTCACCCCGTGGACGGTCTTTCCTTCCCCCTTCACATGCACACACCAGAGTGTTAGTCCCGAGAGGCAGGGGCCCTTGTCTCGTAGTCACCATTTACCTACAGTGACTAGCAGACTGCCGGGGACACAGCAGATGTTCAACAGACGTGTGTTAATTACATGAATGTTATATGCCACTAGAGAGCAACTTAGAGAACCCAAAGCCCTGGGTTTGGAAAGAAGATCTTTGTCCTTTTTTAGACATTTTAGGAGAATCAGGGTTGGGGGGTAGTTTGGGGATGGAAATATGTACATCTTTTACCTTTCTGCTGTCACTCGGATTCGTTCCTCACAACTGCAGTTCAGACCTTCCATCTTCTCATGGAAGTATTTTTCCACACACTGCTCTTCAAAATCGTGGAGTTTTTTCAGATCCTCCTTACTCAGGTAGAGCTCTGTGGAAATAAGTATGCTACATAAAAAGAATCATGGTTCACCTTTAATAGAAAACCGGCAGCGTGTGAGTGGCTCTTCTTCCACTTGTGCTGAAATTTGATAAATCGTAGCGTATATGATAAAACTCTGCTGCCTGGTCAGACTGGATGCCTAGTATTGATGGGGAAGCAGGACATAGGAACAGCTGCAAACATCAGCCTGGGTCTTTCCTCTTTGTTCAGTTAACAGGTAGGGAATCTGAAGATGACTCATGAGGAACAGACATTTCCCTTTCAATATTTTAATAGGTTAGAATGTTTTTACAACATCAACAAAAATTCACTCCCTCTGTCAAAAATCTATGTATAACTTCAGACTCCCCCAAAATGGATTGTCTTTTTCTTCCCTGCCAACTGTTTTATCAATCAAAATGACAGTAAAACCAAAGCTAGAACTCAAAGTCTTTCGAAATGAATCTGGTAAGGGAAAGAAAGCTTTACCTTTTTAGACTGAGTTCATATATGCTAAATTCTATTGAAAAAAGATATATTACCAATCGCCAATTGAGGCTCTCCACCTTTGCCGACAGAATTATAATTAAACTCATTAAAAGACACAGCATTCGGTGATGCAATTCTACATCAAACTTCAACAGTCATTAGGTCTACCAACTTGGCTCTCACTCTGACCTAACCAGAAAACACATCTTTTGAGCAAGTTTCCAATACTTGGAAAATATAAAAATGGTGCTGCAAAAAGAGTAAAAGTGGCCAGAATGAAATGAAATATTTTTTAACCTAATGTTTTTTAAATTGAGGTAGAACAATGACATTCTGAATTATATATTGTATTCAGTCTATTTTAAAATATTATTGTAATTGACAGAGTGAAAGTATAGATAAAAAACCTGTGTAAGAGGCTGTTTTTTTCCAAACAAACTTTTTTTAAAAGAAATATTTCTTCCTCCAAATGTTTTATTTGAGGAAAATATTACTGTCTTTATTTTCATTATTAAGATTCAATTTGACCTTTGATGATATTAAATTAAATCATTCAGAGCAGAAGTGGAAGGTTCTCTTCCTTCAATAATTTCACTTAAACTAGGGGGGAATGAACAATTAGGGTTCTCCAGAATTTATTAGAAGTGAAAGTGTTCCATTATTTTCCCATAAAATGAGAGACAAAAATATTCATTTTAAATAGAAAAACATGGCTAAAAGAAAACAATATTCAAGTGCACAATGTTTTCTGATTTTATGGTGTGGAAGACTCAAATACTAAAAATAATCCAGTATCTCCCCAACACTCAACATCTGTTTACATTAAAGAATCTTCTATTGCCCAGCTGGGCATGGCTCAGCGGTTGAGCATCAACCTGGGATCCAGGCGATCGGGGTTCGATTCCCAGTCAGGACACATGCCGGGGTTGCGGGCTCGATCAATGACTCTCTCATCTTTGATGTTTCTATTTCTCTCTCCCTCTCCTTTCCTCTTCTGAAATCAATAAAGATATATTAAAAAAAAAAAAAAAGAATCTTCTATGAACAAGAACCTTTACAACTGTCAATAGTTGAGCCTCCAGTGCATTCCTGGGAGCAAACAGTCCACACAGCCATTCATCCCAGTGGCAGGTGCCCCTTGTAGCATGTGGAACATTCTTGGGACTGTCCACCAGGTGGCACTGCTGCCCCATACGCACACATACTCGAATCATTTTATAAGCCCGGGCCCAGGTGAGCCCAGGGAAGGTTCTTTGGTATGGTGCTGGGAAATCTGGCCAAATCCTAATTAACTTCAGGATCTCTCAAGTGGTTCACAATCTATTAGGTTGCAGTGTTTCTGCAGCCAGTGACTGGGATGGAGCTCTATTAAAAGCCTAAGAATTTCAGTATAATTATAAACCTTTAACTTCATTTGTGCTCTGGCTTCCTCCTCATAAAGACCGAATCTCTTGTGTAGGAAGAAATGGAAAAGAAAAATAAATCTCCTAAATGACTCAAGAGGAGAAAAATACTTCACACAACCAGCTACTAAGAACAAAAGCATATCACCCTGTCAATCTTGCAGTAATACCTGTTTCCCCAAGTGCTCACTGAAATGCATAAACACTCCACAGCCCCTTATCTGAAACTCCTAGAACTAGATGTGTTCTAAAACTTAAAATTTTTTTTTCTAGTTTTAGAAAAGTAAAAAAGGGCATATTCTGTAAATGAGCAAAACCCCTAGTTAGGGCTAGGGCAGTCCCTGTAACCAAATACATGACTACTTTTGCAGCAAAATCAATAAATATTCACACTATGTGGAGTAAAGAGAATAAGTGGGTTCACATTAGTCTTAACAATGAGTCTTCCCACAACTTACGAAGAAAAAAGACTTTCCATTTTCAGAGGAACTTTGGATTTGGAATTTGGGGTAAAGAATTGTGGATTTATGCCACCTTTTTCCTCTGTCTAAGAATTATCTAGAAATGGGCCTGGTATCAATTGTGGGGTTGCTTGAGAGGAACTAAATCACAATAAGGAATGTTCTCTTATGACAATCAGTATGACAGTCATATCATGCAGTCAAGATATGACTAAGCAAAATGAACTAGGAAAATCTCAAAATATGTAGACTTAAGCTTTGCAAAGGAGAGAGACACAGAGAGAGAGAAAGAGGGAGAGAGAGAGTTCATTTTTCTGCATCCTGAGCTGAAGATCTTAAAGATGTGGAACATCGATTCAGAATCACCTCCACACTCAGTAGATTACAGAATGAGAGAACCATGACTGGTTAACAAGTTAAGCACAATGTCTTCCTTGTTTATTTTCCTTAGACCATGAACTTCCAGGTCAGCAGAGAAAGCACAGGTGTTCCAGGAGACATAAAGCCTTTACACATTCAAACAGAGATTCTGTTCCTACCTATTCTTTTCTTTCAAAGTACGTATCAGTTCATCTTGGCAAAAGGCACTACGACTGCACAGTGACAATGTATTTCCTTCAACCCAGCTCCTCAGCTGACACTCTATTGCCTGTTAATTCCCAGAGCCTTCCATCCTGTGCCCTGAATTTAACTGACAATGTCCTGGTGTCTCTTCACCTTGGATCTCCACTCTACTCTCTTCCTCCTGCCCCATCAATAAAAACTTACTTAATCCAACATCACCCTCTTCTTGGTCACTTGGAGCTTGATGGTGGCAAAGACGGCGAAGGAAGAGGCCGACGTGACTCAGCAGAATGAAAGGTGGGGGCAGCCACGGCTTCTCGTGGTAGGTCATGATGTAGCGATAGCGATTGTATTTCCACAGTTTATTTGAAATGGATTTCATATCTACGTAAACGTTGCTGTAAGTTGTAGAAAGAGAGAGACAATGTTTTAATATGGACTCCTGAAACAGAACAGATTTTTCTTTATTTTCCAACTTTTATGATTGATTCACCTGACATTACCAGCAGTTAGCCAATAAAAATAATAGCCATTGCATTTATAATTCTTCTTCCACCAAACAAAGTACATTAATCACCTTCTACAGTAAAACATGCCAGTGAGAATAACAAAAAAAGGTAGAAATCACAATCAAAGAGAAGAAAATGCTAACATTTTAAATGCAATGAACAGAAACTGCCTCTAGAACTGAACGCTATTCTTGGTTCACCGTCTCTTCTCACATAAGCTCTTTTCAGTCCATAATTCATCATTCATGGTAAAGAGCTTTAATGTTGCTCCACATCAGGGGTGGGGAACGCCGGGACTATGGGCTGTATACGGCCCACAATAATATCATTTGCTCTGGCCCTGCCAAGGCAACCGCAAGCAGGACTCGAAATTCAATAAATCTAAGAGCTTTTTCATAGCTAATTTTTCAGTTGATAATTTTGTACGGCCCGAGAATGATGTTATAAATATCCAAATGGCCCTTGGCAAAAAAAAGGTTCCCCACGCCTGCTCTATATCATCAACCTTATGAAGAGATTCTTCCAATGTCAAATGTGAGAATGGCTAGAATAACCCCAGTTAAAACGGCTAACAACACAATATTAAGAAGAAAAGACAGGGGAAAAGCATCAATTCATCCTAAAGCAAATCAGTAAGTACAGCCTCTATTTAGAAACTAGATATATTATTTCAATGAACATTACAATAGAAGTAACTGCTTATTGGTAGGCGACCTTGGATTTTCCCTTTCATTAAATCAATTATAATATACAGACAATGCAATAAATATAGTGATATTATAAAACTTTCTATGAAAGTTGTGGTGGGTGATACAGTTATTCAGTTATTATAAAACAATATATCACCCTTAACTACATGATGAGGCCGTATGTCCATCTTCACATTTCACTTAGGCTAATATAAAATGAAGTCTCTTTAGATAAAGATGGCAGAGAAATACTTGAGTAGGGCAGCCAAATTTAGCAAATAAAAATATAGGCAACTCTAAACTTGAGTAATAATAAAGAAAAGTAGGAAGTCAGCTTACGGTAAGAGGAGGGGGGATATTTACAGAGTGTATAAAGTAAATGAAGGAAACAGACGACTGGGTTTTAACAGTTCTCAAAGTGTAGTCACTGAACCAGAAGCAACAGCAGCATCACCTAGAAACTTGTCAGAAATGCAGATTCATGGGCCTTATTCCTGAGCTATGTAATTGGAAATCTAGAGGCGGATATCATAGCAATTTGTGTCTCAGCAAGTCCTCCAGGAGATTCTTCTGCACGATCAAGTCTGAGAACCACCAGATTACATGCCACTGCCTTTCCGAGTGTGACCATAGTCTGTCCACCAGCAGGTGAAGACAGTCACTGTGTATTTCAGGTTCTTGGTAATTAGAGATATAAAGAATTTGGAAAGGGCCTCTGGATAAGTAGTTAGATCTTGGCCTTCTCAGCATGTTTGGTCATCTCTAAAGTGAGAAAATTGTTCTATGTGAGGATTTTTCACCCTCTCTTAACACCTGGTCTGTTTTTATAAATAATTTTATTGATTTCAGAGAGAGGGAGAGGGAGAGAGATAGAAACATCAATGGTGAGAGAGAGTCTTTGATCAGCTGCCTCCTTTGCACCCCCTGCTAGGGATCAAGCCCTCAACCTGGACATGTGCCCTGACCAGGAATCGAACCTCGATCTCCTAGATCATAGGTCGATGCTTAACCNTGTGCCCTGACCAGGAATCGAACCTCGATCTCCTGGATCATAGGTCGATGCTTAACTGCTGAGCCACGCCGGACAGGTGACACCTGATATTTTGAGAAACAAAAATCTCCTGCCCTCCTGTCTGAGCAGCTCAGCTGGTTAGAGCCTCGTTCCTACATGCCAAAGTTGGGAGTTGGATCCTCAGTGAGAGCATGTACCAATGAATGCATAAATAAATGAAACAACAAGTCGATGTTTCTTTCTCTCTCTCTCCAAAATCAATCAATAAATTTTTTAAAAAATTATCTCATGCCCTTCTCTTAATATTACTTCATATATCAAAAAATAGCTATAATAACTAAACACTAATAAAGGTTTAAGTTTATAAAACGCTGGAGATAAAAGTGATAATAGCTATCATATAATCTTGTAAAAAGCAAGACGGTATGTCCTCCCCATTACATGCAAGTCATTTTTAAGGATTCTCATTTATTCTGCCTCCCTCCAGCCTTTATCTTCTCTACTTTCTTTACTTAGATTCCATGCATTGATTTCCCTTTTCTTATCAGTGCTTGGAAAAAATTCATGAGCAAACAAAAAACAAAAACAAAAACTTGTTCTTGGGGAGCTTATATTCCAGTAGGCAAGCCAGATAAACAGAAACACACAACATGTAAATTATAAAATATATTTGTGTATATAATATAAGTGGGTACAAAGAAAGAAGAGTAGGGAGGATCAGGCATGCCAAGGAGACAACTGAAGGAAAGGGAGCTGCACTTGTAAATATCATCCTTAGTTTAATTTAGAAAGGGGACATTTGAGCAAAGACTTGAAAAGGGGGTGAGGGAATGAACCACACTGATACCCGGGAAGAGCATTCCAAACAGCGGGAAGAGCATTCCAAACAGCGGGAAGAGCAAATGCAAACATACCTGTGTTGCTTGAGGGGCCAGTGTGGTTGGAGAGAAATGGATCAGGGGAAGAGCAGTGCGACGTGTGATTTGAGAGGTAGAAGGGAAGCCAAACCACATGGGGCCCTCTAGGTCACCGTAGGAACTTTGGCTTTTGCCCAGAGCGAAATGCAGAGCCATTGAAGAATGTGGAGCAGAGGAGTGACATCATCCGACGTCATTGTGTTGATAACAGAATATAGGGCCAAAGACAGAAGCAGAGAAATAAATTAGGAGGCTCTGTGGTAACAGTGGGGTGGTGAGAGGGGTTGGACTGGTGATCTATTTGAAGGTAGAGTCATCAGGCATTCCTCACAGTTTAACATTGGAAGTACTAGAGGCATTAAGAATGAATCCAAGGGTTTTGGCCTGAACAATGGGAAAGATGGAACTCTGACAGATACTCGTGGTCTTCCTCATAAATTTGGGAAGGACTAAAAATAAAATAAGTACATGTTGGGAAAGAGGAGAGAGCAAGAATGTGAACATTTAAATTTTTACAAATCTATCACATATCTGACTGGCAATGGAAAGGGCAGTTGGATCTATAGGACTGAAAGTCAAGGGGGGAAAAACTAGGGCTAGAGATCACCAAAGCATTCCAGTGTTAGAAGGTTAAGGAGAAGATGACCCAGAAAAGAAGACTGCAAGTAAGTGAAAAGTGAGACAGAAAAAAACAGAATGAGGTCCACCGGGAGCCAAGCGTAGAAAGGAAAGCAAACGCTCCTTAGCCAAATGCCAACCTCATCAACTGTTCTTCCACGATTCCAATTATTACTTAATTACAATGCATGATTCCCTTTTATCCTGCTTTTATTATACTTTCTATTTATTGTGTTTCTCTTCTCATGCTCTACTGGCTTCCTAACAGTACTTTCAGGCCCATATTTTAAAACCATAGTAATAAAATATGAAACACACAAAAACCAAAAGTCACATGTTCAAAATACATGTGAATCTACCCAAAGTGCCTACCCCCATTTTTATTTCAATGAAATAACCATATTTAATTAAAGTAACCTACTTGAAGAAAGCAATTAACAGGTTCACCATGATGATATATTGCACGAAGAGGTAGACTGCTTGGAGAAATGGAGTAAGAAAAGAACCAGGTGGGCAGGATGACTTGCTTGAACAAACTACAAAAATAAGAATGTAAAAGAATGAAATAAGATGAATCACAGTCCTATGAGTCTAAGCAAATATTTAGCACATTAACTTAGCAGAATGCCATCAATTTTTGATATTTTTAAGATTCAGATGATTATTTTCCAGGTTTTTATTTTACTCTGGGTATCTACCAAAGTTCAGTTTCCGCTAAGGGCCGCTCCCCCACGCACCGTCTATTTCGGACGCGTAGACTTCTCCATACATCATCCAGTACGGCTCAAACACGATGTCTCGGGCGAGGCTCCAAGACGGAGGCTCCTTTGGCGAAAGGATGGCCTTGCGCGCCACTCCGAAGCTCAGCAGGACGATGGCCATTATGATCACGATGTAGAACATGTTCGCTGTCTGCAATAGCACCACCCAACAAGGATTTTACCACAGCTTTGAAACTGAAAACAAATAAAACACTAGCAACCATCATAATTATACCTGCCAATAATAAGACTGTCTAGTCATTGACCAAAATGCCCTCGTCCACCCTGAGCTGGGTTTCCTTTGGCTAAACCACTTTGTTTTCCCTGCACAGTACATGTTTCCCATCAACATCGCTATGGAATAGCATAAATTCTCTAACAGCAGAGAATCTGGGCTGCTTTTTTTTTAAGACGTAATAAAATGTGAACTGCTTGTGATGAGCTAATATCCAACTTTCCACCAACTGGGCCAGAGGTTAGGAAAAGAAAACAGGGATCCTCAAATTAGTAAAATGGTTCTTTATTCCCACAATTACCCAAGGGTATTTGTTAAATGCAGGTGTAGGCAAAAGCAGGTTTACAGTTGTTTGTATGGAAAATAATACAATAATTAATAAATAATAATACAAGAAGAAACTCTGTGTTTCACGTACTCACAACTGCAAACCCGCTTTTGCGCCACCCTGTATGAGTTTGCGGTTATAAGAAAGCAGCGACGAACTGATCCTGCTCTCTGTGCTTCTGTAAATAACCTCAAACCTTAAGCTGCTGCATGTGCGCCGCGAAGGCCGGCAGGCTGCGCTCACCATTTTCGCAATCATGGTCACGTAGGGGCCTGCGTGCTGGTTCACGGCGAAGAAGTCCAGGAGGCGTGAGAACCAGAATATGATGTCCACGCAGTAGATGAGTCTCCCCGCCGTGCGCAAAGGGGGGTCGCCCCACCGCAGGCCGAAGCCAACCACGAACAGGCCAGTGGCCACAGTTTCCATGAGGTTCCAGTACTCGCTAATCCAGACCTTTACCTTCTGGGTAAACTTTTCAGGTTCTGAACTACAGACCTAAAGAAAGACAGAAATGGGGAAACATAATGAATGAGGTACAACCCAGGGGCCTCATCAATATCATCTTCTTTAATGTATCAACTGCTTCATTTAAAGAGTAATTTGAATCCCGCCAGATAAGGGATCACAAGGGGATTTTGGAGACTTAAGTTATCCTCAGGTAATGATTTAAACAATTCTATAAATATATATATATATATTTTTTTAAAATATATCTTTATTGATTTCAGAGAGAGGAAAGGAGAGGGAGAGAGAGAGATAGAAACATCAATGATGAGAAAGTCATTAATCAAGCCTGCAACTGGGCATGTGCCCTGACCAGGAATCGAACCCCAATCGCCTGGATCTTAGGTCAATGCTCAACCGCTGAGCCACGCCTGGCTGGGCTCTATAAATGTACTTTAAGGTCACTGTTAGTGCTAGCCAGCTATTTGAAACCCCAAACAGAAGGTTTGTTTTTGTTTTGCTTTCCAAAAGGTAGTTTTTCTAGCTTTCATTAATCCTAAACTAACACAGGAAAATGCCAAGACATTTTAAAACTTAATATTACACTGGATCTATATAGCTACGATTCCATTTCCTGAGGCACAGTCAAGCGCAAAGGAGACTGGTTTGAAACCAAGAAATTCTATTGTCTAGTCCTACCACTTACTGCTCTTTAGGGAGTTATTGACAGTTACTCAAAATGTGATATTAGAACTCACTGATATAAAAAATTACCCCACAGCAGAGTATCAGACAACTGAAATGTAAGATAATTAACCTATATCCCTGAAGCATAAAAATGGTGGAATTCAGATAATGTTTTTCTCCTGAATTGTTTTCTATAATCTATAAACTCGATAGTAACTAGCAGAGAAGGTAGGTATAATTACTAAGAATACATTTTCTTAGTATATAACACTAAGTTTCTCATAGAGTCACTCACATTGGCTCTATGAGAAAATCAATGTATGTAAATGCATAGACATAGAGATACATATGCACTGATCTCTAAAACAGTCTAAGTCATAAATGTATGTGACTGCTGTTATAACTGCATGGGAGTATCTTCGTTGTTGTTGTTTTTAAGTGGCTCACGCAGACTGAAAACAAAAATTTTTGTCTTGTTTTGTTTCTTGGACTACTTGCCCCAGAAGGGTTTTCAGCTTCAATTTTGAAAGGTATTTAGCAGAATCTTTCAAAAGCTACAAATGATTTACCTATTGTGCAACTTTGATCATTTATGTGCCACTCTGCGATGAACTGATAACATGCAAGTAATGCTAGGCTATGCACAATCAATCTTACAAAAACAAAAACCCATTTCTGGGAAATCAAAAATTTGGAGGGTCTAATATAAATTAGATATCATCACTCTAGGACTGATAAACACACTAAGACGTCCTTGAAAACACCTACTTTCAAAGAGCAGCAACCAGAAGAAAGTATGGGCAAGGACAATGGTTTGCCATCAGAGACTTTCCCATCAACACCCCGCGGCACCCAAATCAGGATCGGCCTGCCCGTCTCACCCTCGCCCGTGGCCAGTGCACAGTCGTCACCAGAGCCCAGAACGCCCCTAGCAGAGGGGGCAGGGGACAAGGGGAGAAGCCAGAGCTCACCTCCCGGACCTTCTCAATGGCGCTGGTGAGGACGTAAATGATGACAAGCCACTCCTGCACGCTGGGCCGAGGCTGCATCTGCACCAGCACAGTGTAAGTGAACAGCATGAGGAACGCCACATACACCATCTGAGGGGACACAGTCCCTGGGCGTGAGTCACCGTCATAAGGGAGGGGGCTGGGCACACACAGACCAAGAGGGGCAGAAACGCACACTTGAACTTCAGTGAGATAACGTGAAAATACAACTGGGACCACTTTCTGGTTATTGATGACCTGATATCGAGGAAAACACAGGAATCCAGCTTTCGATTCCAGGATTAAGGGACAGAGTGAAAGTCACTGTTGTCAACTGCATGGGAAGGGGTCACTGTCTCGTCCTGTTAGCTCCTCACTAGAATTTCCGGAGCACTGCACATTCCACAACGGGCATTTTAGGGCCCACAGCAAGCAAGGGGGACTCACACACCTTCCCCTCCATTTAAATGTAGAAAAGGGGTGTGTGACAAGCACGCCAAATGAGTAGGGTAAGCGCCTATTTTCAAATATAATAAATCATAGCATTTACTACTGCCGGGAGTTATATTTTATGTTGATTAAGACATTCTGGTTAGTGGAAAAGTACTGTCTAATTTTAATTACATTAAAGACTGTTGATGTTTTCATCTCAGCACTTGGCCTGACACATGGTAGATATTTAAGAATATGTTTAATTACTAACTGGGTATATTAAACATAAATTTCCAAACTCTTTAAAGAATTAAAATACGGTAAATACACATATACTTATGTACTAGTGACAATAGCTTTGTAATCTTTTCTAACATTTTTTACCTTCTTAAGATATATTCCCAGAAGTAGAAGAGATGAGCATACACATTTAAAACNTACACATATACTTATGTACTAGTGACAATAGCTTTGTAATCTTTTCTAACTTTTTTACTTTCTTAAGATATATTCCCAGAAGTAGAAGAGCTGAGCACACACATTTAAAACTGTTACACGTATTACTAAATTGCCCACCAGAAAATTGCCATGATCACCAACAATGCATGAGATGGTGCAGCCCTTTAAATAGCTTCAGAGACAATACACAGTGCCAGCGGATCAACACTTGTATTAAAAATCCCAGAGCAGTAGAGAGAAAAATGGTTGTGAGTATACGGGTGTTTGTTCATCTCACAAGAATCATTATTTTTAACCTAGATCCTTATTTCTCATATCTTTTTGAGCTCTACCTAAATGTTATCAGTTTTTTAAATTTAGTTCTACATAGAGAATGGCTGAAACCACTTCTGATTTACCATAGTGATATCATATACAATAGGTGGTATTTCTGGCAGGCATAGTGCTCATTACTGCCTATGATAAAGAGCTATAGTAAAAAAGCCTATAAGAAAGGCAAGGTAAATTCTATTAATTTTATACTTCCACTGGTCTCTGTCTCAAAGTATGATTGTGTTTGATGACCCCGTAGGGACATAAGTTAATAAATCTGTTCTATCAAGCAATCATTTTTTACATTTTTGTCATTGTGTCATGGTGGCCAGACACTGTTGATAATGGTGATATTGCTTCTGACTTTTTATTTCTTTCCAGTTTTTAAAAACAGATCTGAAATGTTTATACTTTTACTTTTTCATCATAACATTTAAACAACACACTGTTTTAATGAAGCACACACACCAGCACCTGACAATGTGACAGCCAAGAGCAAAACGCCTGTGCTCACCATCAGTTACTATGGGCAGGCCCGGCTGGCTTATTTGTGCTATTTTTTAGCAATTTGTGTTGTTGCTGTTCTTTTGGCTTAGCTTTGTTCCTGTCTCCAAGAGTTTGTAAGATGTAAATTTTCAAGGAAAGAAATACTTGCTCTGGGATATTTTATCACATATTCACAAAAGTGGTGAAATGTCATTTAAAAGGAGATTTGACTTTTGAAAACAGATGAAAGTCATTCAGAGCTATGTACTTATTCAATAAGTATGTAAAATGAGTGTGTAGTTGAGCAAGTAAATATCTTGAAGTATAACACATTCAGGTAAATATCCTTTTACAGTCACAATTCAAATGTTTTAAAAATACAAAAATCTTGGCCATGAGCAATTTAAGTATATATAAGCATTAGAAAAATAATGCTATGAAATAAGAGTGAAAAGCACTCAATACATTTAAAGTACAGTTCAGGCTTTCTCTGTATCTCTACTATCCATAACACATTTAGTATTTGTTCATACAACTAAACTCCTACAATTTTACTGTGCTCTATAGACAGGGTGTCCCAAAAAAATGTATACACACAATGTCTGTAGATTCTATTACATTTTGAAAATGAAATTTATTTTAATAAGCACTGCCTTTATAATTATTCAAAGTGGGCATGCATTTTTGTCTATATTACACATTATTCCTACAAAGAAAACAATCTACAGAACTGGCTTTTTTGCCCAAGATGGGGAAAGAATCCACTCCCATCACTTAATTCTGCAACCACTGTTGCTAATNTACAAAGAAAAAAATTTACAGAACTGGCTTTTTTGCCCAAGATGGGAAAAGAATCCACTCCCATCACTTAATTCTGCAGCCACTGTTGCTAATTTTATTGAGCCACAATGCCTGGCGTGCTCAGCCCCAGCTTGCTAATGGGAAGCACTCGAGAGAGAAGAAAATGCTTGTTCTCTCACTCCCAACATAGGAGAGCTCTGTTCTAACCTTTACTCGCCTCCCTCCAATCTCCTTTCCTATGTCCTTGGTCATTCCCATCCCCCTTTTTTACTGCAATTCTACATTTTATCACAAGTTGGCAAATCAGGTATATCCTTATCAATGTTATCATTCACTATTAACCATAAGAAATTGTTATGATAAAACCAACCGTATAAAACCAAAACTTGACAATTGGAGCGCTGTAGAACTCATAGACTTTCCTGGTCAATGGAAGGACTTGAGGACCACTCTTTAAAACAAAGTGCTGATTTTCATCTATTTTCTCATCAGGTCCCCTCTCCATATCATGGTCTTTCTATAAAATAAACAATTTATTGTCAGAGGCTTAACTAAAATATTGACATATGCAAGTATCCAAAAAATACCATCAACACATATAATAAATATGTTAGAAATTAATTGGGCACCCACCTGCCAAATTATAATCTTATTTTTGAAAGGAAAGAAAACTATATGTATTACATAAGTCTTTGACCAGGTAAGGAGCACAGGGTACTCCTCAAATGCAGTCTGAGTCTCTAATAATCAAACCTACTCAAACGAAGGGTAGTACCAAGGAATTTTAAATAGTCACTGTTCTTGTTCTATTTAATTTCCTTGATCAGTATTTGGAACATAAGGGTATTCACAAAATCCCCATGAAGTCCATAACCAATAATATAATTATTTCCATCATATAGGAGAACAAAATGGACACTCATTGATTGATACATCTTTTCCAATTCATAAGAAAATTGGGTGCAGCATTAGTTTGGAGATTCTGGCTTTCAGAACTTCTCCACTCATTTATAGCAGAGGTTCTTCACCAGAAGTTCATAAGGTCTGGGCTTCTGGAGTTCCTTGAACATCCTGCAACTATGTGCAAGTATTTGCGTTTTTCCAGGGAAAGCATCAAATCTTTCATCAGTTTCTCAAAAGTTAAGTGTCAGCCCAAAGGAATTAACCCTTGTAGGTGATAAGTAATGAGTGTCTGTGTGGCAAAAAAGTGGCTGCATGAAATGTGACTACACAGGTACCCACACAGAAGAGCCTTTACAAAAGGGGAGTGAAAAGAAATAAAAAGAAAAAAGCACCTGTAGCCTGGCTGCTTTTAAGAAGAGGAAAGTTGTGGGGGGGATAGTGAAAAGAAGCCAACAAGATTTCACCCTACTTTACAGAATTCTGTGTGGTTTTAAGCAGAAAATGCATTACTTTGGTGATTTTTTAAAAATTAAATAAAAAGAAATATTCTCTGATGCCTCTCAGACTAGTACATTTCTTCAACCCATCCACAAAAGATCTCTCTCTAGCTTTAGACCTGCAAGATTAGCAAGATTTTTCAAGCCAAGAAATAAATCAAGTTTTGCTTGTTATCCATATAATTGCAAGAAAATGTAATTTTTGAGGCCTCAGGCATCTAAATGGGTTACATCAACGGCATTCATGTCACCTTGGGTAGTAAAAGTGGGGTTGTGACTGACAGGTGTAGGAATAGTCCTGGTTCCTGACAGGTTTGAACCAGCCCACAGTGGTGAAAATGGCTTAGAACAGATTACAAAGTCATCATTTGCTATGATTTTAATGATATCAGGACCACTGCTGAGAGACCCCAGAAAGCAATTTAAGCAATGACCTTGTTATTAAATAAGTCCCCTTACTAGTTTTTCCAGAAGTGTTTCATTTGGTCTTTAATTACTCTTGGCATTTTGGTACGGATTGTGAAGTACTAATTGATCTGATCCTAACTGGGAGCTGAATTCAAAGACATCAACTGCCGTGATGAAAAAAGCATGGGAGTATAAATTCAGATTCAGGAGTTTTTCCCCCTCTTAGGATAAGGTAAACACAAAAATCTTTTTCTTAGCTTTTATTCTACTTAAATCTCAATCTCTCCCTCTTCTTTCTCTCTCTCCCTCCCTTTCTCTTTCCTCTCCCCTCTCCCTCCTCTTTTTCTCTCTCAAACAAGAATCTTGATACCAGCAGGCACAGAGAATAAAATTATAACTACAACCGTCAGCTCTACTACAATTCATGCCTATTTTCCATTATACTACAGTCACCATTCCCACTTAATGATGCTCTGATAAAAATACATTATTATTCAACTTGTAAAAATATTTTTTATTGTGATTTAACAATATGTCTAAGACTAAGCTCATCTTTCCTCTTCAAAACCTGCTCTTTTTCCAGTCATTTCTATGTCCCTTTAACGATGGTCTTGTTTTAACCATCAGCATCTCAACCAGATTAGCTATCTCCCTCTCGCCCACGTCCCATGTTCAGGTCCCATTTAACTCCGCCTTTTCTTCCCCAGGCCCATTGCTGCTAACCCTGGATACAACCCTTATTGCTTCCCATCTGGAGAGTCACACTAGCCTGCTCTCTCCCTGCTTCCAGGGGTCTTCTTGCTACATCACCCTGTACACTGGAGGCAGAATAATTCTCCTAATGGTCAGGTCATCTTGCCACTCTGGTCATATATGTTCACTGACTCACCATTACCTACAGAATAAAAACCATCTTCCTTCATAGGAAAAACAAGGGTCTCCATGATCTAGCCTCACACTATTTTCCCAGCCTTACCTGCAAATATCCTCTCCTTGTTCCAAGCCCACCATAACCTGGACTCTAGCCACGCCATACAACTTGTGACGCTGGACATACGCCTGGCATTTCCTGCCTCTGGGCCCCTGCTTACAGTCTCCTTCCCACTGAAATGCTATTTTCCCTCTCCATGTGCTCAAGTCACAGATCAAACACCACCTCCACCATGAGGCAGTCTCCAATCGCTAATCCTCGCGTACTGACCCCCAGTGAGAAGGGCCCTCTTCCTCCCCTAGTTAATCCATTCTGCCACCTTGTTACAATTTTTCCTAAGAAAGCTCACGTCATCAGAAGTCATGCTTTCAAGGGGTGAGCAACTAGAAAGATTTAGTTTTCTCATGGCAAAGTTATTTTACCTGTGGAATTACCAGGCTT